TTGGATCATTTGGGAGATCATTTGGAATTCTAATTTCGAGTTTATTGGATGTCTGTAAAGTTGAACGATCCAAACTGAAGTCAAGCTACTTTAACTGCTAGTTGGAAGAATTAATTTGGAAAGTGCCAAGCAGACACTTACAGTTTGTTCCACTTTAGCAATTGTGTTTTAGCTTATCCAAAGGCATCTTATAAGGTTATGGTTGCATAATATTATCACTAGGCTGCATGTTGCGGATGGTATTAAATACTACTAAAGTTCTATTGTGATAATATTAGTTTGCCATTTTCAGCAACAAAAGTTGTTCATAAAGTTTCTTGTTGTTGCTAAGGATAAAATTCATGTTGATGAATTTTTATTGAACACATAAAGATGAATTTATGCTAGCAAATTCATAGCTCCATTATAAGGTATACTAAGGTATTAACACTTGAAGTATTTTATGAGTATATCGCTCATATAAGTGTTACTATGGACATTGCCTTAGTTTAGTGGGAGTTGGTGTTCAATGTATTCTTGAATGTTATCACTTCATTTTCTGCAGAATAAAATTGATGGTTTCAGATTCGTTATGAATCACTAAAGTTTCTATTTTTGTGACTTTGAGTTGCATTTATGGATTGATCTCACTAAGGATTTAAAGTTGGACCAGCTGGAAATAGACATGGTAAAGATCACATTGCATGTAATTTCCATGCCACTCACCATATTTGATCTATGTCATTGAGTGTACTAGTATGGTGATTTCCGGGGTTTATCCACGATATGTAATGTGGTGAAAGCCGCGGTAGTTCCATTACTAGTATATGAGATGGACCAGATTGTTTAAGGTAGTCTGGAGATGAATAGCATAAAGTTGCGCAACTAAGGAATTGATATAATTGCTCTGGAAATAATATGTAGCCCGAGTGGGAGATTGTTAGAAAATATTTAATTTCTTATGTATAATCTAATTATGGACAACATATTATATACAATTATATTAGCTATTCAATTAATTAATGGACTCAATTAAGTGATCTAAATAAAGTAGAGTCCATGAGCTACATAAATTGATATGGGCTGATTGAGTGGATACCTAATATTATTAGGGTTAGGTGATAATGGGTGGTCTACCCTAGTAGTATATAAAGACCCTCTTGGTTATGGTCCCCAACATACTAAATCAAACAAGTTCTCTTTTCTCCCCATCGGAATTGAGAATGACGGTCCCATATGAGGAATAATGCGATTTAGTTGAGGAAGGCCATAAAACCGACCCCGTTCGTGTAATCGATGATGTGTTCGCGATTCAAGTTATGTTTCATAATAATCGGATCCATAAATCCACTTAAGGTACGCTTCCGCTATCTTGTTTGATTCTCGATTATTTGATATGGATGCTCCTGGGATATAGCGATGGTTTTCGCATAAGGCTAATTCCAACAGGTTGTTTTCGAATGTTGTCTTTGTTGCCCACGGATTTGTTGCTGACGGAGGGATGGATAGAACGTGTGGAGCTCGAGAACGTGGATATTCATCAACTATTTTAGATAGTTTTTGCCGCAACTCTCAGAAACCAACGTGGATGACTATATTCATCAACTATTTTGGATAGTTTTTGCCTCACCTCTCAGAAATCGAAACGAGTATTTCGACTTAATTCTATATACTACATCGATGACATAGGCAATGGTTAAAGTCTTCCCTACTTTTTTTATATTATTATTATTATTATTATTATATGCAATTTTACGAATATCTAAATTTTTGTATTTTTCCATTCAAAACTCAATTGCCTAAATTTGCATTTGGACGAGTACTCCACTTAAAATTTTCATGATAATGTGAAAAGTAAATATATGATTAAATAAAGGTGTATGACTCCGTATTAATAAATTAGTATTCACAAAAAAATAAAAAAAAAAAGAAAAAGAAAAATCCAGCTGAAAATATAATTTAGAAAACGGGGGGAAATGGAAAGAATAGTATAAAAAGACATATATAGGAATTGAAAATAAATTAAATTAGAAATGAAAAATTATAAGGAATAATTTATAATTAATTTAAATAATATATAATTACATATAAAATACTAAAAAGTATATATTTTAAAATAAAGTCAGTTCACTCCTCATATTAATGTTTCAAAATAAATAAAATATAGATTTTGAAATAGTGAGTAAGTTAAAATCATATTATATTAATATGATAGGAGGAGAATTAGAAATTTAAGAAATTTCGAATTTAGAATAACAAAAGCTTACACTTTAGCAATTAGTCAATAATTTCTAATACATTATTTGAACTACTAAAAACAGGGGAAAAAAATCAGTAAATTAGAAATGACAGTTTTGGTGTTTATTCCACACCAATATTGTGGGGCTTCATTTAATCCAAATTAAGGCTGGTGTTTAGTTTCAACATCGAGGACTAAAACAAATTAAGGAAATGGTGCCGTTGTATATAATTATGTTTTTGCTAGTTGGGCGAATAACCGATGGAGTTCATAAACAAATTAAGGAAATGGTGCCTTGTATATTATTATGTTTGGGTAATTTTCACTTCTACTTTAAGGATTTTAAAATAATTGCATAAATACAAATATTAAAATTTATTTGCAAGTTTATTATTTGGATAACTACAATATAACTGCCAAACAAAAAATAAAGAGTTACCATCCCAAGAATCTCGTNAAAAAAAAAACTGAACTAAACAATCACGAGCAACGTCGTCCCATCACGAGCAGCAAATATACAGAAAAGATACAAAATATAAACAGTATATATACAAAAAATATACACTATATATACCTAGGATCATTTTCTAATCAACCAAATGGTGGAGAACACAACATATACAGAAAATATACAGAATATAAACAGTATATATACGAAAAATATACAATATATATACCTAGGGTCATGCCGATCCTTATGATTTTCAATTCAAAATTTTCGTACAAAAAATTCAAACTATACACACTCTAATAGTGTGCATATGAAAAAATATAAACAGCATATATACAAAAAAATATACAGTATATATACATGCAACTACACAAACAACAAAAAAAAGTATAAATACACTACATATATACAGTCTGGTCTGGTCCTCCTCTCAACTAAAACCTAACAACAAAATTCTCCGATCGTCCTTCGTCTCCTCAAGGCGCCTTGGACAAACTATGTCAATGAAGATGACGAATCTGCAAGTAGGGATCCGGACCATACACACGTTCGACCTTGCCGAGTTCCTTGCTTGTTCTAGTTGGCTTCATGTTCTTTTCGAAATCGAGCTTTTTCTAGTTGAGTGTACTTTTATCTCTGGCCACGATTTGTTTGATACGAGTACTCGATCGCCTATGTGCATCAACACCGGAACCACGAGTTGGGGGGTCGCCTGCTATGGGAGGGATTTTGGTTTTGGCCATGAAAATGGAACCTAGGGTTTAATGATAATGGAGTTGCGTTGTGTGTTCGTAGGTTTGGGCGCGTGAGAGAGATGAGCAAGGATTGATAATGCCAGAGAATGGGGGTTAGTTTTGATTTAATTTGGTAACTTATCTCACAAAATCTGTGTTAATTGAATAAAAATATATTATTACTGCCGTATAATTGCAATAAACATTACATGATTTTGTAGCCCCATATAATTTCCTCATTATGTTTTTGCTAGTTGGGCGATCATGAGAACAAAAAAGTGTATTGAGTTTGTATAGGAGAGATTAATTTTTGAAAGAAGGGACAGATTTAGTTCGTTATGAGCTTTTTTTTTTTCTTATAAGTATTAATAAAATGAGCTTTTTTTTTCTTATAAGTATTAATAAAAATATTATCAGTGCAACAAAAATATTGTCGGAGAAATTAAGCCTTCTTTTTCTTGTCGGACTTGGAGAGGGAAATTAATCTCTCCACATAATTGGCGGTGTGGATTAATGGGGCAGTGTGGATTAATTGGATCATCTTTCAAAGAAACATCTTCCATATTTTAAAAACATAAATAATACTTAATTTTTCAAAATTTATCATTAATGTAACAAAAGAAAAATATTTAATTATAAATGTCATTCCAACTCATTCTAATATAACTTAGCAACTCATTTTACTAACTATTTTTCTAAAATTTTAAATATATATACCCAACTACTTAAATAACCATCATATATCTTAGTCCATCATATAGTCTTCTAAACCAATATTACAAAATTGTAGAAATATTCAAATAGTTAGAAACTTCTAGTGGAAAAAAAAAATGAAAGTTGCAGAAACATCCAATCAAGTTGAGAAATCTAGTCAAAAAAGTTTTAGACAAACACCCAAACAATTAGAGAAATCTAAGTAGCATGCATTTAGTTAGATGTCCGTGGGATAAGCCCTATATCTGTTTTAATGATCGATTCAAGATTCGTCAATAATTGAGTTAAAATCCTTTTTTGGATTAGATAAGACTAATCCATGTACTTTGAGGCNCAAAATATAATGTACACCCCTGTATTTAACAATGTTCTAGAAGTCGCTAGGCGCCCGCTAGATGCTCAATATAGAAGTCGCTAGACGTCCGCTAGGCGCTCGATCAATACCTAGCACCTAGGCAGGGTCTATAAATTAAAATTAAATATCTTATTTTTTATTGTTTTAGTACTTATAGAATAATAATATCTCAACTTATAATAAATACACACTTAAGTCCAAAAAATAATATTAATATATTATAAAAATAAAATAATGTAATTAATATTTAAAAAAATATAAAACTGAAAAATTGTCGCCGAGTCCAAATAGGCCCGCCTAGGTGCCACCCAACTGCCTGAGCACCTGGCCAATTTTTTTAACCGATTTATGCAAATCAAAAGCGACTGGCCAATTTTTAATACAATGGTATTTAACGAAACTTGCACGTTTTTTCCTTTAAAGAAAAAAAAGGCACAAAATCCCCTTATATCTTTGACAAGTTGTCAAAGATAATGGTGCATGCACTACACGCATGAAACTACAAAATTAAAAATAGCAGCAACTTTTATGGTGGCAACCCATATCAATGGACCAGCTCCAGCTAGTGTCCAGGCCAGTACATTCGTCCAGGTCCAACCAAAACACGTCCGGTCACCCACAACCCTAATGTCCATATGCTTATCCATGCTCGTCAGTCCTCGTATATATGATAATAATGAATAGAATGTAAACCCATAATTATTATACCTCTACCTTTATATAGGACAATTTCCTCTCCTCAAAACATCCATTCCCGTAAAGAAACTAAACACAAATATACCAAACACAAATATCTCTTCTGATAAATATCCTTCCATATATCCTGAACCTTTTGGATCCTAAGAATCATGCCTTCATTAAGAAACCAGTAGCATTAGGCTATGTTTGGTAGACAAATAAGCTAGCTTATAGCTTATTTAGTTAGTTTATAAGCTCCCTATATTCAAATAAGCCTCGTTTGGTAGGACGAGCTTTTTTAAAAAAACTCGAGCTTATTTGATAAGCTTCTTTAGGTAGCTTTTCAAATAAGCTAGTTGAATTTTTTATTCCAGCTAGTTTATCAGCTAATTTTACCAAACACTATTATCATATAAGCTAGCTTTTCAGCTATAAGTCATAAGCTATAAGCTATAAGCTCGAAATTTACTAATAAGTTATAAGCTAGCTTATCAGCTAGTTTTACCAAACATAGCTTTAAACTCAAACCAATTCATGACACTGTTTTAAAATTTCCATACAAAACCCAAATGTGTGCAATTTGCAAAAATACAGACTCGAACCCAATCTACGGCCAAATTACCAAAAAAATACCTGAGGAGGCTTATGCTAAGTGTGTAACTAAAAATCACTGAATCTTCCCAAATTCCATGTGTAGTCCCACTTAACTAAGTACACCTTTAAAGGGTAGTGAAAATAAATTAGTCTAAAAAATTAATTGATCATGTCAGTTACTGGAGCCGGAGTTACCTTGCATACCTCGACACAAAAACCACAGTCCATTAGAACCAAGAGCCACGCGCGTTGCTGTTCAGAAAGCCTGTCCCTCGGGCCCTTCACCTCCACAAGCTTCGCCTCCCCACTGTAGTAACAGTCATGCAGCCGCCAGAGGAGCAAATCAGGCATGCCGCTTGACCAGCTTCGGTAGTCCTGCGCCAGGTGGCGGCATATGGACGCGAGGCAGGCCCCTCCTATGCACTTCACGGCCGCCCGAAGGTCGGTCAACGAGTGCTTCTCCCAGTTGACTCCTCGGCACGATGTCCCGACATGCAAATCCCATGATGTGACAAGTATTTCCTCCGCCATGCCATCTCGGATTTTTTCGCATTGTGCTTCGATTAGGTTCTTTCGGGTTCGGTAGAAGGCGTCGATTTCTAGATCCAATGGTGCAGTCTGAAAATTATACCCTTGAGGTTCAGTTAAATAACTAAAAAGGAAATCTTTTTTTCAAATTATTTACTTAAAATATTATTTTTTTTCACTTCATTAAGCAAGTTTTTTTATTAAAATTAGTTAATTATTTTTTATGGCATAAACAAACCCTTTACAGTTTTGTACACCATTGCTATATAATAATTTCAATGTTTTTTTATCCAATTAGTTGTCATAATCAACCAAGATTGCATAAATTTAAAGATTAAAATGTAAGTTAAATTGTTTATATTTATATCGTCGTTTTAGTAATGATAAAATTTATTAATGTGATATGCTCATTATCTAATTTATGATTTATCTTACTTAAAACACACATATATAACGTATAAAACTTTATTTGCATGCACAAATTTGCATTTGTGCATGTGCATAGGTTAGAATACTAGTCTTTTATTATTTTAAGAAATGCGCCATTAAGAGAGAGAATTACAACATTTTGTCGTTGGAAAAACCATCATCAGTTTCAACCGATTAGAAGCATACCTGAAATTTGTTTTGGAAGACATTTGGTACCTCGGCAAAAATCACATCCCACATTAAAATACCGAAAATGGTTAGCCAAATGCCACTCTCCGTGTGGAGACCCTGCCAGCCACCGCCTTCCCCAGCATAATACTGTAATGCGAGCTGTTCAACCCCACATCGTTCTCCATCTTCACCATAAAACACGCTCTTCATTCCTGTTTTACAATTCAGCGGTCTTCCTTGAACATGAACCTTGTCCCCATTATATTAGCAAATAAAAGAGACATGTCATATCAATCAGATGATAGAATGTACAGGGTTGGCATAAGTGAAAATGATGATATTCCAAAACTTTTGCCATTTGCATTATATTTTATACCTCAAAAATCCTCCTCTTCATGGATTTGGAGTAGCTGGGTGTTTTCCAGCGCCTGGGAGGTTTCCCTAATCTCAATACCCGCCTTTGGAGGGCAATTCTTGCGCCAGCACGAACCCATGAATCGAGTAAGCCATTTTCCGCAACTTGCAGACTATCATCTATACGCCCCAGATGTTCCAGATCAACAGAAAGCCTTAAAGTCCAATATCCTCTTCTTCTATCAGATATAAAAGTGTTCAGTAGCTGTTTGAGTAGATTGATGGCATCAGTGTACCTGTCAAAATGCCAGAATGGCTACTTCAAAGCAGTTATCGCTAGTCTGCACGGGTGTAGGAGGAAATAACAATTTTTTTCCTCCAGATGCATGAACTACAGAAAGCAGGCGTTATTTGAAATAAATCAATATTTGAAATTTTGTCAGCTCTATATCTTCATAAAACAATAAATATAGACTTGATAATCTATAAGACTTCCCATTTGAACACCTTTACCTCTTCTCCCGCTCAAGAAAGGAAACACCCAATAGGACCACCTTAGAGTAGACCCACGAGGCTGAAAAGTGTGATTGAAAGGTAGCCGTTGATTCACCGCTAGACGATTTGTCCTCTTCAAACGAAATTGGCATGCGTGAAACAGAAATCTCTATACATTTTAAAATCAACTCGGACTTGTTCTCATCAAGTGATTCAGCCATAATTTGCGAAATCTCAATAGCCTGCAATTAATTGCAAATGAGCACCTCGTAAGGAAATGTGTTCTTTTGTATTCATTACACACATGAAAATAAAGCGCACCTCTTCATACAACAGCAAGTCGCTCCTACTTGAAAAGATGGGCTCTGAGACTATGCATCTGTAAGCAGGATATTTCACTATGCCTAGATCCACAAGCAAAAATGCCGACAAGTCTTGTTCTCCATTAAGAAAGAAAAGCCTCTGGAAGACAAAACTAAGATAACAATGTGACCAAAAAAATTGGAGTATTTCCTTTAAAAGGAATGGTGTTATGACACATAATCGCAGACTTAAATGTATACAGACTTAACGATGACATTATGTGTGGGTAAGTCAGTGTAAAAGTGATAAAGTATTAGCTCCTGCTTGATCTTAAGAAATAATTTCTCGGCTGACTACAGGCTAACTGACCAACTTTAAGCATTGATAAAAGTGACCTCAGCTCGCCATAATAGAGATTCAGCCAACGGAGATACTTTAACACAGAAACCAGTTACTTTCAAAACAGAACTCTGAAGCTCAGGGCTGCAAGAGGTAATAAAAGTCCAATCATGTGAAAGATATAGGCCATATTTGATAGACATGTCATGAACATGCAATATTTTTACCTACCAGCAGCCATACTTGCCCAAAGATAGAAGCAAATCAATGATCTCTTTCTTTCGGGTACCATGACTGCATTTCTGATATTTCAAAGGAAACAAAGAGACTCAACAGCCACACAGTGGTATCACACATAAAAAATTATAGCATTGGTTATCTCTTATTTTATACAAGTTCTGATGGATACATTTAGCACAAGTAGAGAATTTCTCAAGGACCCATGTAGAAGATGAGCTTCTAAGATGTAATTGGGACTTCAAATACTCGTCCATGGCATACTAATTTAATTTTTTTGCACTTGAGAAAGTACCTAAGTCATCTGAAAGTAAACGCGTAATTGAATGACATCTAGGTGAGAAAACTCTCATTGGAAAAACAGCCTACACATAAAGCTGAGAAGTCAAGAATAATTCTAATGATGTGGCATGTGGGGAAAAGACAATATGCATTCTTGTCAATGTAATTTAGTAAAATGAATGGATAATATAAAATTAGTAAGTTGTGCCAGTGTATCAAAGCATGAACAATTACAAATAACATAATATGGTTCAATACGATTCTTAGTGGTGATAAATTGAAGAAAACATGACCCAAAGCTACTGCTTTATTTTTCTGTCACCAATTGAAAATTCGAAAAAGCAAATCGTCCATGAAACAAATACTTATTTAGACACCCAATCCTGAAAGGGAGCGAGAAACAAGTGTTAATAGTGAACTCACTAATCACACTTGTGTAAGAAATTATCCAAACTCCAGCCTTTCATATGGATGTTAAACACACTGAAACAGCACATAAGATGTCAGAAAAATTCTTGACTGAAAAACTGCTAAGCATTTGTGAAATATCCTCGATAATGTAATTGCAACATAATCAGAAATATGTGGCCCGTATCTGTCCACACAGTATGTCTTTTTCTGTGTAGTCATCAGAAACCAGTATCAATTTAGGAGCACAAACTATGGAATCAAACAAATCTTAGAATGAACCATCCGTCATGCTCCATTATGTGCAAACAACCCAAATGAACCAGAAAAAGAGATGTTCCACATGGTGTCATATTTTTGGCAAACTTTGAAGAATAATAAAGGTCCAGAGGGTGGAAAAAAGGATTAATCTACTAGGCGGCTCAAGAGAGAGAGAGAGAGAGAGAGAGAGACGCTACGAAAGATCATCCACTTATTATTAAACTGAATCATTAGGTACTCAATATCAGGTCGCATGGTAGGAAAATATTAAAGCTTAGAAGATAAACATAGAAATGTTGAATAGATAATTCGGTGGAAAAATGCAACTAGATGGTTCAGATCACATACAGAACATTAAACAGGTTGTCCCTCCACAAGTCTCTCACAAAACCACCAACTCAAGATAAAAGGACTTTGTAGTGTCAAGGATTGTATATCTTTACCCACAGCTGAACTTTTCAAGGAAACAGTAAAAAATTGTCAAAGGCATTAATAAGAAATAACCATCTCCATCCAAATGATCATTGCACTTCATCAAGACATACCAACCAGGATGGGTATTAACTGATGTTATGTTTTAGGATTGATGGATGAAAGAGTTCATTTAGTCAACATATTTGTCTAATTTTCTTTATGCTACAAATTTAAGTACTATAATCAATACAGTGAATCCTAAAGGAACATCATAGAACAGACCTTGTTAAGCACTCGCAAAGCTCCCCGTAGCTCATCAACGTTAAGCAGGTTCAAGACCTCCTCTAAGTGATCGTCTTCTAATTCATTCTCTCTCTGGAGCGAAGAAATATATCCTGCATCTATATTGTACGAACATCGCCCAGCAGTTTAAAATATTCAATTCAGAATTATGCGGTTAGAATTACTATATTACATGAGCGACTCAGGTACAAATGTTACCTAAAAGTTTCTTTGCTGCTAGGTGGCAATCAGCTATGTCAGGGTATGAAATAGTAGACATTCGAAACCAGGGCCCTGAAAAGAGAAATCAACTATCTCAGATAAACAAATAACAAGTTAGGATGAAAATACTAAGGGTCTAAAAATAAAAGCATAGGAGCAAAATTTAAACAGCAAAAAAATAAATAATAAAAAATAAATAAAAAGAAGCATCTTGAAAGCCCATTGCATTTGAATTAAACACTACAGAACAGAATATAGATTATGGAATCCATCACTGACAAGGCCGATTCCACAAGTACAGCTCTGAAGACAAGTCTCATATATACATTGTCCTAACTCCTAATGGGCATTTTAATCAAAGTTTTTCAATATCCATTATATCAATTAAAATTTTATAAGACAGGGCATATATATTGATAAATAGAAACATAAGGTGCTCAAATATTGTAGTGGTATCGTGTTTAATTTGGGAAAATGAAGTTAGTAAATAGATTTAGATGAGAAAAACTTTAGGAGATATATCACTATTACTGACGATATTTATTAAATAAGAAGCTGGAACATCCATGAAAAAAGCACTTTGTCCAGACTTATTAAAAGATTTTGGAGAATTGTGCAACTATGGCAGGAATTTCCCTAACATGGCACATGCAGATTGATGAGCATTATGTGCAAAAAAGTGGTAAGGCATCGGCTCCTAATAAATTTACCAATCCATCCACAACTAAACGTGAAGGACTATCAGGCTGCTGCTCTTTGAAACAGATTCAAGGAAGACGAGAGGAAAAATCAATTCATGAAGAGCCAAGGGGCAATCAATTGAAAGGAAATGAATGTTCCATTCAGGACCTTTGCGTGTATAAAGCCGAGCAAACAGCCTCTTACTATCATCTTGAAGCGACACAAAAGATTCTGGAAAAGAAGAGACCAAATCACTGAATTAGCAAATAGATAAAATTATACTATTCAAGAAGTGCTGTATATGGTACCTAAGAAAGACTTCTCGCTGTCCGTGAAAAGATGTGGATTGCTCTTTAAAACTTCTTGTATAAGCAGTACCAGGTTATTCATTGACCTGGTCATCCCAGAGGGATTAGACTTCGCAAGATCAACAACACGTAGAACATCTCTCCACAAAGACTTAAAATCTTGAATGTTCTCGCTACATATATGATCACATAATTCTATATTTTTGCATGCTATCTGCATCGGAACAGCAGCGCGGGAATCTTTTGGCATGGCAGTGATACTACCCTGTACATGTTATGAATTAAAACAAGTGACTATTGACAGACAACACTAGTGAACTGTAAACCATCCACATTTCCAGAATGCAATGAAAAGCATCATACAGATATCCCACGTAGATTAACACATTTCAACATAAATAAAGCGTGTGGTGAAAGGATATAGTATCTCACTTCAATATAAAAGACAGTTGCTTAAAAAGGGAGCCTTGCGTCTTTGAGTTTTTAACAATATTAGAACTGACAAAACAACTTTCCATATAACTTCAGTGAATACAGGAATTGCAGTCACTGCTGTTGTAAACTGAAGTTTCTCTTCACTGGTGTATTGACAAGTGGAGAATCAAAGAAACTGTTCAAAGACTAAGCATTTCATGTCAACCCAGTTAATAAATGCATAAACATAAATATTTGGTAGAAGAAGATCCTATTAAAACTTCCATCGTACATCAATGATGCAAACTAGTTAGCTGATAAGCTAGTTTCCTATCAGTAACATGTCTGGTGCTTGCAACCTTGTTGCTGTGGCTCGCAAGATGCCAGCAGATAAGCCCAACAAAAGAAATGGCTGTTGATTCAAAGAAAGAAACAGATTTCATATTCAAAATATGTACTCCACCAAAGGAGCTCCTTTACCTCAAAGTTTAAGTGGAACTTGTCCATTAAAGGAGACAGGCATTGGGCCAAGTCCCGCGGTATATAACCCAGCACGTTATCATATTCAGAGTCCACATAAAGTACCTGTTCAAGATGCACAATACATTCTCTTACTCAGGAATCAAGTAGGAGCAAAAATAATATAAAGCTAAATAAAACGAAACCTTGATAGCATTTGGATCTTTAACATTCTCAGGGTCTCTACAAAGGCAAATCTTTGATTCAGGATCTAACACCTCCGCACTACCATACCTACGGCCAACAATGGAAGTTGAGATAAACACCTTAGATATGTCAAAATCATCCAAACATTCTTCTGGAACATGGCTAGTCGTCTCAATGCATGGTGGCGACACAAACTTATCATCAGAAGAGTCTTTAGCAACAAGAGGTTCTACACAATTTGCGGATGGATTGTTACTATACGACATCGAGTGGAGCTCGTTATAATTTTCTTCACAACACACCAACTCATTTGAATTTTGAATTGCACCACAAGTGCTTATACTTTTGGGTTCATTCAGGAAAACTTGATTTTCCTTATCAGCTAGCTCACCAGAGCGAATTTTAACTTTTGACCTTGAGAAGTTCAACTGAAGAAGTGTAACCTGGCTGAATTTCCGCTTACTTCCTCTGGAAAGGCAGTCATCTGAAACCATCAGACCATAGTTTGAACATAAAGAAAACTATGACGAAAGAGCGAAAAAGGCAATTTAATTATTGATTATTAGCAGCTTCCTCAGGATTTAATAAACAGAAACTTTGCAGGTGAACCTCATTTAAGATGGCTGCTGAAAGTTAGAAATTACAGAAACAACTATCTTCTGGGACAGAGAAAATCAAAATGAGGACAGGTCCCTTATGCACATACGAGAAGTCTCCAAGTCAAACAAGAAATATAAGGAGGAATAATCCGGGCAGAGTTGACTTGCCAGATAATTACAAATCCTTGATGTCCATTTAGCACGTTCTACTATACATGGATTAGTCGAGTAAAAGTTTCACGGACAAATAAGATGTTCGTATAGAGGATGTATAGCAAACTGGGGAAAACAGAGATTTGAACAATTTTATCTGATCCATCGGCCAACAAGTAACGAGTTTATCTCTTTGATCTTTCATTTTTCCAGCAAAGAGATTAATCATAAATAATTGCTTTAGGTCCTGATATCTTCCACCGCGAACATTCTGTTCACCAATTTGAATGGCAAACCATCATCATCATCATCCTTGTCGCTTATATTATAAAAAGAATATCACTGAATCACACTAATTTAGTCTTATTATTTACATCTGCGAACAGATTTATAGCAACACAAGTCTTTTGTGATAAGGGAAATCTTTGGTAGCCAAAAAATACCCAATAACAAATGGTCCTAAGTCTAAAGCAAAACAATAGGCCGAAGCCCACACACATTACATTACCTAAATGCGAGTTGACTAAGGCATTATCCAGACTAGGGAGTCCGACGCCACAGACAGGACAATTCACCGATTCTGCCAGGTCATTGCCGCCATGGGATCCTTTTTCCACGGAATCTCCTTTCGCATTATCTTTCAAACAACTCTGCCACAATTCACACAATTATTCAAGTTAAGAAATGGGTGCGAACACAAACACATCTATATATACAGATGTATAAATGGAGATATATGTGATATGTTTGCACCGATCACTGAAAATAAATAGCAGATAAAGTGAAATGATATGGATTTCTGAGACGGGTACGTGCCTGGGAGGCGGCGTCGGAGGCAGAGGCAGAGGCAGCGGAGAGAATATAGCGGCGATTGGGCAGAAATCGGCGAGGTTTGCCGATAACCCTAAGCAAGCTTTCCCGCCCGGTCAGCATAGCTCTCATTTAATTGTGAAGTGTTGGCGCGGATTCTTTATAGATCTATATCTATCTATAACATCTAAAACGGGGAGGTCAAATGCAGAGACTACCGAGCTTCTCATTTAATCTAAACTTATATAAAAAGAATAACCCTTTTTTAAAAAAAGGAAAGTTAAATTCTTAGTTGTTATCATTAATTATCTATATACTTATATTAAAATGTATACCATTTACCAGATTTAGTATAAAGAAAAGTCAACAACATTTATTGCATTACTATTTCCGTATTACACAATCTATACTTATATAAAAGGAGATTCTATTTACTACATTTACTATCCAGAAAAGTCAATTGCATTAAAATGTCATTACTATTTTGGTATTATAATATTTTATTTATTTAATTGATTGATTTATTTATTTTATTTTAAAAAGGTAAGTATAATAAAAAGATTTTAATAATAAAAAAATCAACTACCAAATAAAAATGTATACTTTGACTTATTTGATTATATTCGGTATTTGATTATACCAAATATATTCCTATTTACTATATATATTAAATACTTACTAAAGTATTTATTTGTTTTATTTGTCAAAGTTAAGTATAGATTTGTTTATATTATCAAATCATAAAAAAATATTAAATCCATATTGTAAAAAAAAAAAAATCATATAATTTTATAACAATTCTACTACACTATTTAACAATATTTCTTTTCATTATATAATAAAATAGTAATTAAATATTATATAGTGAACAACAATAAGTAAAACTGTTACTTTCTCTTATATCAAGGGATAAATTTATATGCTAAAATTAAATTTTTATTAGTATAAATGTTTTAGTGAGATAATATATTAATTATTTTACAAGCTAGCCCTAACATGCTCATATTTAATGTTTTAAAAGATGTAGAAAAAAAACTTATAATAACTCTATTTTTTTTTTAGACTTAAACGTTGATTGAAAGAGGTAAAAATTCCTAATTTTTTAGACTTAAACGTTGATTAACACACTAGATTGAGAGTTTATATTTAGTAAAATTCCTAATTGTAATAAAAAATTAATTTTTGCTATATTTTAGAATATCTTTAAATTCATTATAAAAAAGAAAAAGAAAAAAAAACAAGTCAGCTATATATCGATTTGTTGTACTCCTCAAATCACATTCACAATTTGGCTACAAGGAAAGGAAACTCATTGATTAAAATATTATTTTGTCAGTAGTCTTAATGTACAAGAGACTTTAAGACTCCACTTGAATATTATAAAACTTTTATTGAACATTGTACAATTTTTTTGCATATTATAAACTTTTATTGAATATTGCATCTTATAATATAATATTCTCCAAATAAATATATCTCGTGCTTTGCACGGGTCACGTACTATATATATTCCGTACATTTTTTTTTATTCATGTATATAATTATAAGCCTGAATAAATAGCCTTAAAATTGTGCACCCCGTGCATCGCACGGGCTCTCTGTACTAGTTTTCTATTACTAGCAACATTAAATGTGTTAACAAAATATTCGAATCTGTTGGCATCAATTAATTCATTCACGTGTAAAAATCGTTAGACATTTTTTTTGAACTTTCTTTTCAAAAATCGCGTACTGCTTTTAATATCTCCGGTTAGTGAGACGTGTGTTAACAAAATATTCGAATTTGTTAGCATCAACTAATTCATTCACGTGTAAAAATCAACCTTACAACATTCATTCCATAAAAATCTTTACGATATTTTGTATGTATAAACGAGTGGCTGAATAATTGGAAAGAGTCCTATTTTGCATGAAATTCGAATAATACAAATTTGTATAATTTTTGAAAGGATTGTGTTGAAGCATTCTAAATAATTTAAATAATCAAAAATCTTGATTTGTTGAATGGATTTTTTGGAAAAAAATTAAAATTATCTCCCCAACTCAATTAATTACATCATCATACATACATACTGATATAAAGTAAAAAAAAAATATTAATGTAAAAATAATTCGACTTAAATTAAATAAAAAAAAAGTACATACACATTAAAAATTAAATAATTATAAATCGCCATACACACTGATACAGTCTATATACATCGTAAGTACAAAAAAAATGCAAAACAAAAGTCCACATTCAACAAAATTATACAAGATTTTTTTCCGGATTTATCAATCGCCATATGCAATTTGTTTGCATAAAAGATTTTTTCCGGATTTATTTTTAAAAGTCCACATTCAACAAAATTCTACAAGATTTTTTTTTTCCGATTTAAAATACTCTCTTTAACAACAATATATATAGCTTACCACCAGCATACATTCACCGTACTACAAACTCATATCTTACAAGAAAAAAAAAATCACTTTCTCTGCAATGAATTAAACATTTGGGTTAATCAAAGATATTAATAGGAGCAAGAGACCTATGCTTAAAGTTCGCATTGTAAGGATGCTTTTTAAAGATAAAGGTAGCACATACAAGTCGCATCTCGAGTTTATTTTGCATGATAAAACTGTAAGCATATTGTTTCGATATAATTTTTCACTATAAAAATATAGGCATATATTCATAATTGTTATTTACATACCATATTAATTACTTTTCAATTTGCGGTTTCAAATTATTTCTCAAGGGAAATCGCATTACAGCGTGGCTACGAGCAGTCTACTTGCCAGCGTTCAGAGAGAAGGCCATTGAAGAGGGCATGGTCATTCTTATACGAAACTACCAAGTTGATAGCAACATTGGTATGTATCGATCCGGCGAGTTTAATATAATACTGCATGAGATCACTGTATTTTTGAAATGCAAAGAAACTTTTCCTATGTTTCGATTTCAATTCAGAGACTTTGCAACTCCGCAAGACGTCAACAAAATTGACGAATCAATTCTATTCGGTAATATTACTTTATAATGTTTCGAATATTATTTGATGTATTTGATTTATTAATTATTTATAAAAAATATAAATTTATTGCAATTTTATTTCTTTGTAGACGTCATTGATTAGTTGTTGATATCCAAAGTGTGCAAGACAAACAAGTCAAAACTGGTGATACGCAAATGGTTGCCTTTATTCTCATGGACTTTAAATAAGTTTATTTAATTAAAATAAATTCGATATATGATTATCTTTTACGAATGCCATATTAAATGTTTTGTTTTTTAAATGCAGTGAAAATTTTATAAACTGCACTGGTGAACCATGGGTTCTCATCATGCAACAAGCACGTGAGAAAGAATACCTTAGTAAGTACATTAAATATGTTTTTTTTTTTCACTTTCAATAACTACGAGCTCACACCTAATATCTTATTTTTCTTTTGTAGAAAAAGTTCAAATTACTATTTCTTTGAACATGACTAAGTTAATTGCACACGACTCAGTGGAGGAGATCCAGACTTTTGGAGAAGGTTAAATTAAATTATACATTCATCAAATTTATATATTTTATTTTTAATTTATAACATATGTTAAAAAGAACATTTATATTTGTAGGTACACTACAAGACATTTGAAGAGGACGAAATACAATTCAAAGTCAAAACTGTTATCAAGACTGAACTGGAGGAGTTGCAATCGGGTGATATTCCAGTTTCTTCTGTAGATGCTTTGTATGAAACTAAAGAGTTTATTTATTTTAGTTTAGAATTTTAATTAATACTATTAATTTTTAATATTCAATAATAATTTATATTGTAAATTTATAAATATTTATTCTTTTTTAATTTTTCTTAAGGATAAAAGCATATGGATATGTGCTTTGGTTGACTCTATTGTGGATGATTGGTGGTATTTTGCTTGCCGCAGTTGCAGTAGCAAAATGCTTAATTCGGACAATGGTTTCAAGTGTAGTAAATACTCAAATTTTAATATTTTTCAAAATTTGACTTCTAATTAAGGTTGATTTTTTTTTTCCTAACTATTTTTTTCTTAATAGATACAAGATGAATTTGAGCATCTCGGATTCAACAGCTAATGCCACTATTGTTTCTATTGTTTGTTGGGACAAAAAGTCTTAGATCCTCATTGGAAAACCATGTCATTCTTTGAAAACTGAATTCATGCGCAAGGTTCTTTTTCTATACTTATTATTTGTTTAAAAAATTTTAACTTTTAATAACTAAAAGTTACATATTATTTTTTTTCCTATAGAATGCTGAAACTTATAAGTTGCCTGAAGAAATAAAGCGTTTGGTTGGACAGACTGTTCTGTTTAAAGTTCGTATTCAGCAGCAGCGCTACTCGAACACATCTTCATTTAGTGTTTGTAGGGTAGTAAATGACAAAGATGTTGTTTCCATGTACAACCAACTCATAGTTGCACCGGAGGTTATATATCGAATTCTCAATGTTTTTTAAACATAATTTCAGCATGGTGCTAACATTTTGTTTTCAATATTATAGGTGTCTGATTTTATTACCATGCTTCGTGGAGATGATAGCAACTATTATGTGGTGAAAAATCTATTTCATTTTTTTATATAAATTGCATTTTCGAAATAATATGATTATTTATTACTAATTATTCAATTTTTTATTTTTAATATTTAATAATTAATAATATCTTATAGGATGAGAATGATGAAGAAGATGAGGTTTCTACACCTCTCAAAATTGCAAAGGACATTGAAAAGGTTGGCGATACATCGACAAAGCGCAGCTTGTTCGATTTATTCGAATTCGAAGATCCTAACATGCTAATGTCTGTGACGCTTGATAAAGGAAAGGCAAAGGTCTATGAAGATGGTACTCTTATGCAAGCGGAAAATGCTCATGATCCATCTGACTGAAGGGACTCTGAAAATATATAAGTACTAGGTCATATTTGGTGGTTTATTAGAAAGCAATTATATTTTAAGTTTATTAGTTTATTTTACCTACAACAGCATGTCGCTGTTGTTTTTCCATTCTTATTAAACGCAGATGCGGACTGCTAGAATAAATAAAAGCATTTTATGATTATTTGCTTAATTACTCATCTTCGTTTTATGATTTCTAATTAACTCAATTTCTTACATTAATCTAAGCTACCACTACCACAATATGCGTAAGCACAATTAATACACAATAACAGTCCATTCATATAAA